GTGAGATGGCATGAAAATGAAATGGCTGTCTTGCTATATGATATCGCTGAGAAACAATGTAAAGAAATGCCGCATAAATCCACAGGCATTATTGATGATATTCGTCCGATTCCAAATGCCAAAGTTTTGATCTATTATAAAGATAACAAATGGACTTTGTGGGACACAGAAAAAAACAATTATACTTCTATGAAAGACAATGATTATGTTCTGAAAGTTTCCGAAAAACTTAGAAAAAAAAAGTTTTTTGTTTTTAGACAAAGAAACATTAGTATTTGAAACTTCCTCCGAAAAACACTTAACATATTTAAGTTTTTATTGTCAACCAGAGGATGGCCCAGAAGTATACTATGACGCTGATAGTGCAGGTGAACAGGGTATTGACAGTATGATTTTGTTGTCTGATGGTTCCATTATGTATGCAACAGATGCAACGACATCAGGAATTCATGTTGTTACACGCGATAGAAAATGTGTCTACACAGAGAGTGAAAAAATAACTAAAGACAAAAAAATTGATTCCTTAAAAGAGTTAAGTGATGGCTCGGTTGCTGTTGAATATTGCGATGCTAGTGGACGTTCGCCATATATTTTTATTCTTAAACCGGGAATTGATGTAACAAGAAATATTGATTATCAAATCGAGTGTATTAAATTGGAGCTTCGACATAATCCAGCTGATCTAGAATTGCATTCTAAATTAGCAAAGCTTTATATCGAAAAAAATCAAAGCAATAGAGAACTATATCAACTTTATTTATCCGGTTTAGAGGCAGCTGTTAAGTCTACCCGTCTCTATCAAGCTCGTCGTTTTTATGAAAATGCAAGACAGAAACAACCCCGTTCTAGAGAACCCTGTGAGACGTTTTTGTCTTTTTGTCTTAAAACAACTCCTTACAAACAACTTACGAGACGAATAAACCTTGACATATTCGCACTAACAAAAAACGTGGAAGACTTACCCGACAGCCTAAAAAACAGAAGATGCAAAACAAGACTAAATCTCTGTACGAGGGCAACGACTTTCGAGTCAAAAATATAATAATAATTGCAGCTGTTTTGAACTTCATACCTTTATTTGTTGATATTTCGACCTTTAACCGGTCATTTTCAAAAACATAAACAGAAACTGTGCAAATGATGAAAACAACTACTATCTTTCTCTATTCTTACTACTAATACTAGTAAGAATAGAGAAAGATAGTAGTTGTTTTCATCATTTG